AAGTGAATTAATGGACATTGAATTTATTGATCCTGATCTAAATATTAAAGAAGAACCCGATGAAAAGACAAATCCGAAGGCTAAAAAGTCAACAGACATCTCAAGTGAGATGATAAACCAACTTTGCGAACTAGAAATGCCATCTTCGATTAGTAACGAAACAACAAATACTGAGGCGGACCTGCTGAATCCTTTTAGTGAACTAAACTGCCATAAAATAAAAATAACATTTTGGAGAAACTTGAATTAAAGAATGATGTAACCAATTTGCCCAAAATTGCAGGTAATAGAAGGCGTATATATGTATATACGAGCACTTATTAAATCTTTCATATTGTTTGCGTTCTTAAAGGCATAAAATCAACAAATTCAGAAATCCGAAAAAGCAGAAATACGTTACACGGCAATTATTGGGCTCTAAAAAATAAAGCGTAAAAATGAAAGAGATAAATCTACAAACCAAATGATTGTTCGGAAAAGGGAAACGCCGATCAAGTATTAAATCAAGTTCGGAAGACAAAGAAATGGTTAAGAAATACATTCCCATGATCTGCGAGTTATGCACATTTATCAGCGAAGACTATTCATCTGTTAGAAAACACTTCCGAAAACACATCCAAAAATCAAAGCATACGTAAGATGTTGCAAATAAAATTATTTCACCCTCTTGAGATCATACGTCATGCGTATAAACACGAAAATCCTGAATTTTTAAGTATGTTACATATATATAGGTGCATATCATAATTTATAATTCTAATTTCGTTAAAGGTGTAAAGACTGTAAAAACTTTGCGGAACAGTCAACACTCTCCCGTCATATGATAACTGCTCATGCACCAGAGAGGAACTAAATTACAATTGTGATCAATGTCCAAAAGATTTCCTTGCCAAAAGAAACTTGAACTTCATAAAAATTCGCATGTACCCCAAAACGAGCGGATATTCGTTTGCGACCTATGTCCTAAAAGTCGCTTCGCCACTAATGATCTTTTGAAAATTCACGTATGTATGCGGCACCGTCGACCAACCAATGTCTGTCATGTGTGCGCTAAAGAGATACGTGATAAAGCGTCATTGAAAGCATGTGCGGTCGCATTTCGATGATGGTGGTCCGAAGGTAAAATGCACATTGGATGGTTGTGACCGTTGGCTCAAGGATGAAGATAATCTTCGACGACATATACGGAGATTACATACCAAAGATCAAAAGCGGTTACATGCGATACATGCGGGCGGGAATGTAAAATCAAGATGCATTAACTAGACATAAATATCGCGTTCATTCGAATGTCGTATTCACCTGCGAGGAATGCAAAAACTTTTAACGAGCGATTTATTTGCGGTAAAATTTATTTATTTGCAATAATTTTATTTAATTTATATACGTATTTTCAGGAACATATGGCACAACATACTGGTGAAATTCTTTACAAATGTCCATTTTGTACTAATTCTAATGCGAATATGCATTCGCATAAAAAAAATGCATCCCTAGAATGGGATAATTGGAAAAATAATAATGAAGTTCACAACAGATATTAAGTGATCAACAGGAAAATACACAAATTTGTATTCATTATGTAACAATTAATACATAACCATAGCGAAAGTTTTGCATTAAATATATATATGTACAGTTAGTATAATAGCGCTTGGCTGCGAATATTGTATTATTATTAAATGTCTTATGACTCCACATTTCATTTCACAAATATACTTAGCTAGGGTGAGTTTAACCACCAGCCATTTATTGTGCTGTAATCGCTATATTTTCTTAGATTTAATGCAAATATTTTGGTTTTGCCTTGCGTGTGAATCGTATACAATAAATTTGTATATATATTTAGATTTTATACAATTATAGATGCACTTTGATCATCGGTCTATTGTGCACTCCCTCTATTACTTCACTTTGGCTAACTCAGTCGCAGTCGCCCGGCCGGAATGAATAGATAGAGATACTTCCCTTCGATAGCTTGCCTATTTCTTTTTAGAAGTACTAATTTCTTGAGCAATTAGTAATATAAATGCCTTATTTAAATAATTTAAGTGAAATAATGCTGAACTAAATTAAATTCAACCGTCATTGAAATTATCAAACTGTGACAAAGAGGGCAGGTATGATGTCGTGAGATTTCAACTGGGGTGGCACAATGATGACAAATGCCACAAATCCAAATATTACTGGTGGGTTGAGTGATGGGTTTGCCTGATGATACACATGCTGGAAAGCGAGCACCACAAATGCTACAGGCTGGCAGACTAGGAAGATAAATTTATTTTAGTACACATATATATATATATAATATATAAATATATCGTAAACTGCAGAATCGAAGTTAACCTTTCAGTAACGGCGAGTTGCATGCGTAACATTTAACCATTCTCTTTTGTATCTTCAGAGGTTACTTTGAAAAAATACTTTCAGCGAGCCTTTTATTCCTCTGAACTCTACATCCGATATCTCTCTCCAATGTCCATTAATTCACTTAGGGGCTCCTTTTTTATACTATTATCAGTAAGTACCGAATGCGCCTGCTCTACCATCTTATAAAATTGGTGAAACTCGTTTAATTTTAACCAGCACGGTGGGCAAATCGCTGCAGACATGTCATCATCAGGGTGTAACTAAAGTAATTTATGTAGGATCAATGGAACACTTTTTATTCATAGAATACCTTCATCCAAAAGTGTAACCCGATAATATCAGCAATACCCATTTCAACACCTTCTTCTTTGAATATGCTTAGCAAACTATCTGAATATTTGACACAAAGTTTGCAAAACATGTTAAAAATGATTTCAACCAAATACACATTAAATGTTATCACAAAGAACAATCATTAAGGTATAAGGAAGTAGCGAAACCTCAAATATTTACCCCTAGAAAAAAATTTTAACAAAAACAAACATGGCCGTCTGTGGTGAATCAGGGTTGCGGTTGTTCATATTCACCAATATGGGTTGCGTATTATCAAAAGTTACATCAAATTGATTGTTACTATTTTCTATTTTAGTATTACAAATTAATTTAAAAAAGATTAAAATTCATTTTGTGTATTATAATTAATTTAATAATTCTAAAGTATATGTAGACATACTGTTTGAGTATACTTTGAGCAAATTATTTTAAGTTGTGGTTTTTAAAATTAGACATTTTCTGTCTTAGATAAATATTCGTAGGATATTTAAAATATTCATAAAATTTTAAATCATCATTGAATTTCAAATTTTAATAAATATATTTTAAATAATAACACTGCAGCGCTTTTGGTATATATTGTGAAGTTATCTCACAAACTAAGAGTTATATAAGATTCAAATATATTTAAAATAAAGATAATACCCTTTTATCCTATATGAAATGCACCTGTGAGGGGTATTATAGTTTCGGTTCAGCCGTCAAGTTTTTTCTTGTTTATATTTTATTTTACTAAATCTTTTTCGCAATTGCATAAAAAAATGGAATTGAAAATATACATATGTAAGTATATATAAAGATATATTTATCTTTGTAACAAAAAATAAACGAAACTTATTCTGGAAACGGTCATTCTAATAATAACTATTCCGCTTGGCTAACATCATTACTATGCATTTTATTTACAAAGTGCTCTGTTGTTTACTTATTAACTGCTGTGAACTCCCTTGTTTCGTTTTTCGCCACACGTCCCATTCAATAGGGTGCATTTTTTTCTTATGCGAGTGCATATTAGCATTTGAATTGAAAGTTCGAGTGCAGAATGGACACTTGTAGAGGCTTTCACCAGTATGTTGTGCCATATGTTCCTAAAAGTCACGTTTGTATTAATATTATATATAATATTTGTGTAAATATGTATTCATTATGCACACATAATATAAAAATAATATTCCTTCTCACCCTCAAAGTTATAGCTTTTTTGAAAGTTTTATTACACTCGTCACAGGTGAAAACTTCATTTGAGTGCACATAAAGTATATGACTTCGTAGCGCGCGACGATTTTTACAAACGCGATTACATTCGTCACATTTGAAAACCAGTCCCTCATCATTATGTCGACGCATATGCTGTCGCAAATTTTCTTCATCCTTAAGCCATCGATCACAATCAGGTCGGGGACATTTAACACGTGGCCCGCTGTCTTCGAAATGTAAACGTACATGCTTTTCAAATGATGCTTTATCCCGTATCTCTTTAGCGCACACATGACACACGTTCGTTGCCCGACGATGACGCATGCTTATGTGAATTTTCAATAAATGATTGCTAGCAAATCGACTGTTTGGACATTGATCGCATACGAAAGAACGCTCATCCATTGGTACATGTGAAGGTCGATGTAACTCTAACAAATGTTTTCGTGAAAACTTTTTGGGACATTGGTCACAGGCGAAATTGAGTTCTTCCTCTGGGGCATGCGTAGCAATCATATGAGATTTTAAAGTGTACCGATCGGAAAAAACTTTTTGACAATCCTGACATCTAAAAAGAGTACATTATTTAAAATAGGTATTCAAATGTTAATTCCTTGGAAATTTAGAGTTAAATGCACTTGGAATGCAGTTAATTAGTTATTTTACCGTTCTCGAGGGAGACCGAGACAAAATAATCAACAATTATCGTACTTAAAAAAATCAGGATCTTCGTGTTTATACGCGTGCTGAACAACTTTAAACCGTTTATTTAATTTTTTGTTGCAACAGCGAATGTAGGGTTTAATCATAGGATGTTGCAAACGGAAATGTTTAGCCATTGCGGTGAAGTCCTCGCCCACAAATGTACAAAGTTCACAACCCATAGGAATGTGTTTTTTAACCATAGAATCGTCTTGTGGCGTTGAGGTAATAACTTTCTGCCGTTTTGGTTTCTCCTGCTCATCATCATCATCATCTTCACTGTCCTCCTCATCTTCATCCATTTTACTCGTCGCCACTCTTTTTTTAGATTGTTTCTTTCGCACATATTTCCGTTTTTGTTTCAGTGTTTTTTCTAAACGAAAGAAATTCGTATATACATACATATCATGATTCAATTGTATTATTGAAATTATTGACTGACCTGTTTTGTTTACAACAGCTGGCTTATTTTTAATTTCTTCGGTTTTTATTTCATCTTCTTCTGAATCCTCATTCATACTATGGTCGAATTCTGCCTCATATAATGGATTAACCGATTCTTCAACTTTCTCATTTGTGCGTAAATATTCTAAACATTCTTCTTTAATTTGAACAGACTGTTCAATAAAATCCTGATCAATCGCCACAGTTACGGTTTCATGTTTCACGCAGGTATCACTCAAACTCGAATGAGCTTGTTCTATTGCCAAATAAAATTGATGGAAATCGCTTACTTTTAACCAACAAATTCGACATATCACGGTTGAAATGGTGTCATTGGGCAGAGGCTAACGTATACGAGTGAAATAGCAATTAAACAATTAAAAATATGTTCACATAAATTTTGTTGATTGGTTTGTAGATATAAACACCTGGAACCAGAAGTGTCGTTTCAATATATCCGCAATTTCCAATTGTACGCCATTAACGTCAAATATTTCCAAACACCAATCGGAATCTTTTAAACAGAGTCTGCATAACATTTTGTGAAGCAAAAACTTTTATTTCAATTTTACGTTCCTACAAAGAAAGTAATTTGTCAATCAAAATCAAAAAAACATCAAATTATTTGCGTGAATAGCGTTGCCACATTTCAATCAATTGTTGTTGTAGAGGCAGAAAATATCCCTCAAGTAATTTTTAGGAATGCTGCCGAGTTGACAGTTCTTGGCCGGATAAAAATCCGGTTTCGTTCCGATTAGGTAGACACTACTGTCGTTGAAACGATTTCCAATCAATTCTAACAAAGCAGTTAAAACTTAATTTTAACTTAACTTAATTTAAATTAAGTTTTAATTTAAGTTAATTTGATTAAGTTGTAATGTTAATGTTTTAATTTATAGACATGTCTTTTATTGATATTTTACAGAACATATTTATCTTTATTTTCCCTGTAAGTTGTTGAAAAATGTAAATAATATCAGAATTCAGAATTTTGATCTATTTCCGTATCTCCGTATTTAGATAACAACACGACTTCACAACAGACAACTCGCAATCGCTATGTCTTGTAGTGTAATCGTCTATGTGTAAAGCATAAAGTATTCTAAGCTTGCTTCTCTTGATACTAAGCATCCTAAAATCACGTTCATTTAATTTTGATAAGATATTTTACATAACGGCCGATTTATATGGTATTGGGGAAAGTACTGGGTCGGGTAGTAGTAGTACTGAACAGATTTTATCCATTTCTAGTAAGTTAATTTCATTTAGTTATATCGCGAATTCAAGGATGTTTTTCATGTAAAATCAACCGGCACATAGGCTCTCATATTCGGAATCCGAGAGTTCACATAAACATAGAGTTAACATACCTTAGATTAGATAAGATTAGATAAGATTTATTCTCATACCTTCATTGATGTCTGATTTAACCAGCGGAACGTAGTTGTAGTTCGTTTTAGTCTATTTTCAATTGATTCAATAGTTTCTGAGAACAGTATTCATTCAAAAATGGACAGAGTCACGATTGCCTATTGATATTAGAAACATAAATATTAAGCCCTGCCTAATGATAAACACACACATAATTTATCAACCGTTTAAAAGTGGTTTAAATCTTGAACAGCAACGTGTAACGTTTTGGTAGGCGCCCGGAAGTTTGCCCGGAAAAATTAAATGTCGTCACGTTACTGTTTGCTTCAATCAAATGAATTAGACGTCGTTATTTCTTCTAATGGAATCACCTACATCTAAGTTGCAAGTAATAACTCAGTTTCGAAAAAATATTAATTAATGTTAAAATTTGCTGTATTAAAATTTCTTGCCCCAGTATTTCATATACCTAGTTGCATTTATATTGTATATTGTTAGGCGAATCAATTGGAATACTTTCAGTTTCGAAATATTGCTTTAATTTTTGGAATATTATTTCAATATATAATATGGCTCGTGATTTTGAATTTTAAAATTTTTTTAAACCTTTACTCAGGCTCAGTGGTTAGAGCCTTCATCTATCACTAAATTATCCACGCAAATCTAAAGCGGAAGCTAAATAATCGGATATTAAAGGATATGTAGTATAGTTATATCATATAACTAATTCTAATTAATGACTTTATTTACGTATGGAGAGCTACAAATAAAGACATAAATTTTATGAATTATAGATATTTTGAGATAAATTATTCTACATTAATATAATACGAGTCAAAAATCAATAAATAATAATTTACTTCTTGGTGCATTTTATTAAATAAGCAAACACTTAGATTTTTTCTCGATAAAATGTTTATGACTTCACCTGGATCGACAGTAATATCCCAATGAATTGAAATCATAACCAGAACGCTGACCCTATCATGACCCATTACACTTCGAGGTAGAGTTTTTATTATCTTCATAGCACTAAATTATCCCTCGACGTTAGTTGTTGTAACAGAAAGTGTGGCCAAAACGGCCGTAAAATACGTTACGTCACAATACTCAAACAGTTTCAAAACTTCAGTTGAACAGTTGACAGACTATATTTTTACACACCACCGCCTGTATTATGCTTTCAACTCATTTGATTTACTTACGTCATAAAATCCTGGAAAAAGCAGTTGAAAGATTTTCGGAGTTGGCGCGACTTTCAAAATTTCGTAATAGTGAAAGGGGTTGAGTTATCGAAGTGTTTTTGTAATCAAATTTCAATATTCAATCACAAGAATACGTGACGTAGTTTTCAATCGATGGGTTTTTTAATGCATAAGGCAATTTCGAAATTTCGGAGGGGGTCAGGGCCCCAAACGTCTGCAAAATATGTACATAAGCGCCAATTATATTATATATATACGTATGTGCAGACATATTTAATCAAACCTCAATTAAAAAAAAAAAAAAATAATAATAATAATTCTTTCTATGGCTAAGAAAACACTCAATTCAGATTTTAGTATTCGTAATTTATTAAGACATTAATTTAGAGCTTCGTAAATTTATAACTGTTACTTTATATACATATATTATTAGATTAATTTAAATATATTTTAAATCACAGCAGTCTTCATATATATGTATGCATATATATTTTATATAAACAATATATTAATTTTTACTGAATAAATTCCACATCCCATAAAATCAATTTGATGGTACACATCATTTTTACTATTTCTTAAGAAGTGTTTAGTTAATGGTATCTATTAGCGTATATTTGTTGCATAAGCTTAAATAAAACAAAATAATAATAAATATAAAGTTGAAAAGAGCGCGAAAATGAAAATAATTAACACATAAGTATTTGTTTTTAAATAAAGAAACGTAACACTACTTTATGGATTAACTGTTCTTAAGGATTTGGAATTTGAGGCATATTGGAAGTATCGTTAAAACTCTAAATACTGCACTTGAATAAAAGTTGATAATTACTTTAACATTATTCTCACATATTCTACGTATGTATATATGTACATATGTCTGCTCTGCTATTTGTCCTACAATTTACAGTGATTTACTTGCCAATCAGTTCTTTTAGCAAATGTTTAAAGTTCCGTCGACCTGGAATTTCTAGATATTGACTAAAGCCCAGTCGAACGTAAAATCTATAAACCGCGAGTTATTTCTAAAATGAAATCAGTTGAAGTTTATAGTTCAATCCCCAAACGATGATTTAATAATTTATGCAAATATTTTACTAGTACATGGAATGCAATTTTTATTCTTACTGATATTGCATTTGAAGAATATAGTTTTACTTGTTTTTTTTTTTTTTTTTTTTTTGCATACATTTTTGGCTCTCTTTAAGAGCGCTATATCCAAGTGAAGTTGTACAACTTTTGATATATTATTTGATAAAATAAAGTTACATACAATTATTATACTTAGCGCCCATATGAATAATATAATTACATATTCTCTGTAAAAGAATGAATATTTTCTATGTTTTTGAAACTCACTCGGTAACGACGGACACTAATACGCATTTGCTGTTTCCGGCTGGTGTGCCAACATACAAAACTTATAGAACAAAATCTTATTGTTTACTTAAGGCAATTAGTGTTATGTCAATGTGTATACTTCGAATTTGATTAGTAGGTAGTGAGCTTCTTGATGCTCTCCTTAAACTAGGAAGAACAACATCTGATTACATTCATTTGTAAAAAAAACACTACTCCTACTAAGAATATCATTTGGACAGACAAAAGAGATTGAAATATGATAGGTACGTACATACATATGTGTATTTTAAAGTTAAGCGTTGAATTCAAAATTAATTTGGATGATGTAATAAAACTTACTTTGTAAAATATTTTAAATAATGTGAAAATAACAATTTACTGCGAAATGGGCAACATAACCTGTTGTACATTTTGCTTAGTGGTTTTAGAAGTTCTCTGTGTAATTCAAAATTTTGAATAGTACATACATTTTTCTTAAATGTTTGTCTATTGGTAGTGTTTCTTTATTTAATGCATATGCACATACTTATATATTTTATAACAGTTAGCTTTTTTAATTTTTTAACCGAACAACATACATGTTTAAATATGTATATACATATTCAAATATATGGGACATATGTATCTATGAATGAATTTTATTTTATTATTATTATTATAATATTATCGATAAACAATAAATTTGTTTGGAAACTAACTATACTTTTAATTGTTAATATATATCTCACCTATAAGTATTTTTTATTAATATTTAATACGAATTTGAAGTGCATAACTAAAACAGTAACAGTAAAACTATTTTACACTCTTCGCAATGACAAAAATATTTTTAAAAAATTTAAAATTTGTTTAACAAGTCTACTTGACATTGCACAAGACGAAAATATTAGTTGATATCACCTTAGTAATTATATACATTAACAAGTATGTATGCATATACACTAATACATACATAATATGCTTTATGATTTATTCTAGTCGTATTTACTTACTTGCTACATAGTTGTGTGTACACGTTCTTAAAACTGTAGTTCTATTTACGAGAAGTTTTACTTAACTTTTCTATACATGATTTTTTATATTAATTATATAGAATAACTAGAGCATTATAATTTTGCAATAATTTCGAACTTTCACACATGTCTTTCTACATAAATATTTACATATATTATGTATTATGCATATTCGAATATGCACACATACATACACAACTTACACATTAACGTTTGTGTTCTTTAAAAGCCAAAATGAACGCATTATTTACAAACGTCAATAAAAACCTGATCAATCCTGGCGATTCTTAAATATATACACGTAATATTTATGTACATACATTCGGATTGAGTGTAGATAAAAATTTAATTACAAGTATATGTATGCATAATATTAAAAATGTTATAATATTTAATTGCAAAAACTCTACATACACGAAAGTTGGGTTAATTAGGAGTCTATTTATGCGCGATATTTAATGGGCAAAGCTTTGTCGTATTTTGTCAATTATAGATACTTCTATCACGATATTAGTAAATGAATGTTTGTTCCTTGTGTATGGCTTTGTCTTTTATGTGTTAAATGCTACGTTACTAACACTTCGTGCATTCCTTTCGCAATGCGTTATATGCATGTGTGAAAGTATAAGGAACTTGAGGATCATGATCACGTTGTTATCGTCTTAAACCTGTTTAACCAGCGACCTGCTGCATGGTGAGCTTATTAATCAGTTGCTGACATAATTTTCCATATTCAAATTGGTCCCCTGAGATGCGTCGCAGTTTTATACCTTTGCCAGCTGTTTGGTTATCACGGCTACGACCTTCGCACACTTGTAATTCTATTTGCAAACCGCCCGAGTATTCTAAGCTGAGATTTGTAATTGTGCTGTTGCCAATGCCGACAAAGCTTCCACAGCAGCCGGAGATGCCAGTAGCAGTCTCCATTGAGGTTGCCGATGATTCACTGGTAGTATTCGATGCATTACTTATACGTGCGTCAGCATACATACTCGATGCACCAGCTGCACTACTATACTCTTCAGACAGCCCTTTGTGAAGGATTGCTCCTTTCGGTGGCATTGTTTGGTCGATGGTTTGTTTGACTAATTCCAGTATGCGTGTCGGATCGAGGTTAGAGCATTCATGCGGTAACGGAACTTCGTAACACATCTCCTCGGACATACGGCGAGAGTCACAAATGGAATCGGGCGACAAATGTCCCTCCGTATGATCGCCAATTTCAGAATGTGATTCCGATTTAAAACCCGAGCTGGCAGATGGTTCTTGACATGGTGAGAGATTGTTAGAATCGTTACTTAATGAATCATCGGAGAAGCCAAGGGATTTATCACTCCCGCGGCGGTTCGACTCGCTGACATTGTTCGTTGCACTGGCATCGCTTTCCAAACGGGTTGACGGGTTGTCACCTGCACACTCCAAACTAGTTTTACGTCCGGTACCGCGTGTGATCGAAGGCATATCACTGGAGGATTCTGTTATAATGAGGCCCTGTTAAAATAGGTCCAGTTGGCATTATTACATTAAAAAAAAAAATTTTTAAATATAAAAGCATTTGTAGTCCGTATATTTTTGGAAACACTCACTTGCAAAGACATCAGAGGAGCGGGTGGTTCCAGTGAATCGCAATCACTGTCTCGACTATTTTCCGAACTCAATGCTACTAGTGTGATTTCACTACCTTGCACGTCCGTAAGACATATTTGTGGATGAGAAGGTTGAAAAGGAGATGATATGTCTTCATTGATAAGACCACCGGTGCAGCCAACATGTGGTGTTCCAGTTGAAATTGTATGATACATCTGTCCATTTGCATTCTCTTCTTGTATTATACAGAGATTCGGTGAGGCGGGAGGCGTGGTTACCACTCGTACAGTTTGCGCTGGGGACAAATTTAGTGGTTTGAGATCAAAGGTAGATAATTGCGGTATCATCCAATTCACATGTTGTTGAGCAAACGTATTGATAGGTATCTCAGTAGTGGTGTGGTCAGATGTACATACATCCATGGAAAGGTCTAAGGGCTGATTGACAGCAGCAGCAGCAGCTGAAGCTATAGACGTTGCGGAGGATGCAATTTCACTAGCAGCTGAAGTGCCACGCGTAATGGAACCGCCTCCACCCGTAGATAACACGGAAATACCTTTGGTTATTTGATGCAGGGGCGAAGATCCGCCACCACCATTGCCACTAATGGAGTTAGAATTAAATGATCCAGTACCTGGAATATAAGGATTTGGCGAAGACGAGCCACTAAAGCTGCTATAGATTGGTGACTGACAACCGCTGCTGCTATTTGAACCACTGAAGTGTCCACCACTAGCGGATGCAACCACACTCTGACTAAGAGTTATATGACTGAATTGTCCCACAATACCATTACTAGGATGGTGCATTTGTGGATGCACCAGTCCAAAATGCTGCTGCTGTTGATACGGGCCTTTGCCTAACATTTGCTTCGAGTATGTGCCCATATTGTATGTGCTACAAGATGGTTGTTGAAGCGTTAGCGGTCCACTCACAGCGCTTATAACACTTGCATTGGCGCTATTTGGCAAAGATAGTGGCGAAACACTTAAACTATACGTTGCAGCATGATGCTGCATGCCAGGCGACGTCATATCTAGGTGTCCACCACTCACTGCGACATTTCCAGAATGTGCCGTCAATCCCAAATGAGAGGCCAAGTCCAAAGGCACAATTCCAGTAGAAATTATTTTATTTGCCACTTCTGTATTAAGACGGTGCTCCTTAACGAGGCGATCCAGATGTGGCATAAGAGCACGCACTGCTTCTGGTGGTACTTCGAGATCCTGACCTCGTCGGAACGCCATATGTGGTGCGGGTTTACCGTGTATAGGCGAACCTTTGGAAAAAAGTTGGAACAAATATATATTATTCATTTTATTTTATTTGGAAAGTTATTTCCATATTTTTGGAATTTTTCATAATAGTACTACCTAACCAGCAATCTCAAATTCAATCTGATTAGAACTAGAAACAAAAACTAACAAATATAAATATAATTTTATATTTTTTTGTAAGATTCGGATAGGATAAATATGTAGCTCTTTTGCGGCATATGTACATAGTTCTAATTTTCAAAAGTAAACGTTAGGCATGGCTAGGAATCTATAACTTTTCCATGACCTTGATCTTACAAATTAATAGAATAAGGAATGTCATATGTATTTAAGACGAACAATGATTTTAAAAATTTTATATTTAAATTTTGGAAGCTTACCAGGCAAACTTATCGAGTTCTCAGAAAGTGGGGGTGTTGGAGCGATTAGAAAGTTACGTTGTGCCGATACTTTTTGTAAATACTGACATTCTTGCAGCGGCCCTTGGAACTGCGCTTTAGAGCCTTCTGAAGCACGTCGTACCGGGCTATATCGGCCTATAAAGAGAAAAAAATGCATTCGGAGAGAACAAAGTAAATAAAAGATCAAATGTTGAGTGGATATAGGTATACATTCATATAATAGTTATGACGAGCTAAGCTCTTATTTAATCGGCATAACTACAATTTATTCTTTCGGAGTATTTAAATATATACTTTTTATATCATACGAAAATATTTCATATTTTCTGAAAAATGCATATGTATGTCCCTATAAAGCGTTTTTATTTGAAAAATGTCTACATGTCTAATGAGACATGATGTCTAACACGTAAAAGGCAATTAATTAAACTAGGTCATCATCGTATGCAAGTAATTACAAATGTAATTAATTACTATTTATTATTAAATTTTTATTTCTTTTCTAATTCACTTTCTGCTTTTCAATAACCTTGAACAAATAATATTGTAAGCGGGGAAACATATAACGGGAAAATATGCATGTAATTAAGTGGTTAATATTTGTAAGTAAGCAAACTGATTTTTAATACTAAAATATTGACACCACAGGCCTATGATTACGTAGTATGTCTGGGCAAAGAAAAACTTTAACAGACTCCACTAGATTCATAGTTCTATAGTTTTTTTAATCATACATGTACCAGTATTTATATACTTCCTTATTAAACATATTCAAACTCTTGAATTCTTTAAGAAAATCATAATTTCACTATCACAATTGAAAGGCAAAAAAAGAAAGAAAATCCAAAAATAAAGAAAATTACAATATTATACTTAAATTTAACAAAAAATTGTCTTAAATCGAAAACAAACATATTAAATTTTAAAATTAAAATAACGAAAAACAAAAACTTACCAACTTCTTGGACTGTTGGTAGTTTATTTGTGGACTTGAAATGGACTCGTCTATTATTTCCAGTGGCGCTTGGAGGACCTTGTTGCCCCGCCAAAGCTGCATTGCTCAATGCCTGTGCTGGCAAAATATTGGAACTTGACGACGAATGGTAAGTCATTAGGCTGGTCGTGGGAGGGGATTGACTGAGTGAGGGATTCGGTGCGCCATGTGGATGTGTATGCGATTGATGTTGCTGCATTTTCAAAGCAGGTGGCAGGTAATTTCGATTCATACGCGATTCCACTTCACGTATGAGCTCGGGACTGATAACTATGATGCAAGGGAGGGAAAAGGAATGGATGGTTTGGAGTTATGGTAATAATGGGAGTGTATACGTGGAGGAGGGGAAGAGCCGATAAATAGTGGGGGCAACGCAGGGCATTTCGGTTTTTAGTTGATTATACAATATACATTACATCCAAGCAAAAATCAAATAAAATAAATTTTAACGTTTTGTTTATAATGTATGAATGTATATAAAACGAAAAGAGAAACGAAAAGTAAAATTTAATAACATAAAATTAATATGTAATAAAAACAAATAAGTTTAGAAAGATTATAATGAAACATAAATTTAACTTTAAAAATCAGCTGTTATTATTAAATATAATCATAGTAGTAAATGAACAATAACTGCAATATAGCGAACCTGCACATGCGCAACGCAAGCCTTATGAATTCATTTGTCGTTATGAGCATGTTTATACAGCTCTCGTTTAGCAGAATATTAAACATATGAGCTATATGAATGTGAAATATTTTCAACTAACCTGGCGGTCGTTCTGTCACTGTGAGTAGACCGGTACGTCGTGTACGCATTCCACCACCACCACTTGTTCCGCCTGTTCCCGACTGTGGTGACATGATTGTCGGCATTTGTTGCTCCAGAGGTGGTTCATATACACCACATACTGGACAAGTCTCGCCCGGATTGTGCTGTATTGATAGGTCCTCGGTGCAACTGACTGTGTGTCGTTTTCCACGAATTTGAATATATCTAAAAATGAATATGTATGTGATATGAACATTTTTTATTTAATATTAATTTGATTAATTTTTTTAGAAGACATATACCACCATACCGAGAGGCGAATCATATATAAAGTTCTGAAATAATTAAAATACAGCAGACAACTTTGAGTTTGCTGAGTTATTTACAGTTAAACAAAGCTTGCAAACTAGAGAAGAAGTGCTCATTTCAGGAATGATACAAATTATATTTGCTTAAGCTCAGTCCAATACTTACTTCAAATTGTACTTACTTTTGTATCTCCTCGCTGTTTTCTTCGCTAACAGTATCGCCCGTCCCCAATTGAGATAGTTGGGTTTGTTCACGCATACCGTGTACCGTATGTCTATCGGCGGAGGTCCCACTCAATCCGCTAGTATTAGATACGTTCGGGTTAATATAGTATGTGTTTCTTTCCATTTGTTGCGTTTGCCCAGTTGCTTGGTGTGTATTACTCCCCGTCGAGGGATAATAAATATGCAGATTTGCACCACCATCTGATGCCCGACGTCCAAATGAACCTAAGCATAAGCATACAATTAATAGAAAAGTATGCTAATTATTTATTACACTTACTTGCACCCATCACTATTGGAGGTTTCAAAAGATGTTGGTCCTTAATAGTTAAATTGTGCAACGGTTGATTCTGTAACATTGGCAAGTTCATTGGCAAGTATGGGCCTGTATCATTCTTATTTTCAGGAGGACATTTGAAATTGATTGGCGGCACATTTGGATTGGCAAGTGCTTGCTCGTGTGCCACATCACCAGGCCCTACAGTGTGTCGCCTTGTATTACCGCCGTTTCCCCCAGCATTGGCACACAAATGATTTTGATTTTGTGGCTGAAATGTTGAAAATTATACTATATTTCATAATGCACAAAGCCAAAATGAGTATTCACTAACCTCGTTTGGTCGCGCCACACATTCCAATTCGAACTCGCCAAACTTCTCCAAATCCACCGAAACATCAGTCCATTGGAAGCCTAAGCCGCCTTGTAGCGCATTTGTGTTGGTCAGCGGACTCAAGCGATCAATCGATTCCTGCTTGATGGGTTCAGAACGGTCGACAACACCAGTAGTAATGCTGGTTTTGCGTAATCTGAAGTTGTAACAGCAGAAGCAGTGTTAGCACAGCAATAAACACAAGACAAAGCCGTCATATTCTATGTTAATTTTTAACTGGGGATATTAAAGGAATTATCTGCCTGTATGCATGTTCAAATGGCTATTAACACTCTAACTTGGTTGAGACCAAATAAAATTTTCACTTAGTTTTTGCTATAAAGAGTTAAGCGATCAGCCAGAGAAAAAGCCTTTTATAACATTATTAACTGAAGTAAGTTCAGTCCCTCGTCCGCATGCACTATAATACGTACTGTAACTTACATAACTTTTTGGAATTTATTATGATGTACGGGTATGTGAACCAAACTCAAGGCTGAGAATTCGACTTAAATAGTCGCAATAGAGAGTTGAGAGAGGAAGCTGGGGCTAGAAAATATATGAATAGTTTTATTCTTATTATTCAACAGTTGAGGAGTACTTGGATACATGTTGCCTATAGGTAATCCCTTCTATTGAGCTGAACGCGAGCTAAAGGTGGCATAAGGCGCCAAGAGTAGAAAAATGGAGCGAACGTATTTCTTTACTATGTATTAAGCATACTTGTGTAGAGCAAACACTTCCTGGTGACAGGTAATCTTGAACAGCGAACGCCGTCGTTGGTGAGATGTGTGTAGAAAATGAAGTACATGAACCCTCAATTTAAGACGAACTCAAATTATGAGACACTTTAATAGAGTATTGACATCTAAATAAGTTGTAAGTGCGGGAAACATGCGTGTTATATAGCAATGCACAATATACCTTGAATAAGCGGCTTGATGCTGCATCCTATGATGCTCACGACGCTTTTGTTGCAGTTTATCGGCAAGCAAATTGTAGATGGCATAGATATTGTCGAATCGTTGGTTATGTACCGATTCAGCAATCATATCGGCAGTCAGTCCGGGCAACTGTAGCATATTTCTCATTATCTCTGTATCCAGATTGGCAACAGCCACTGGTCCGTGCGGATTAAAACTACTGTTGCTGTCACTTCGAACAAGTGAATTACTTTCCGTTTGGTGTGTATATGCCGTGGCGTTGGCGCCGCTGCTACATCCGCCAATGCTGTCACTGATGTCGTTCAATTCCGCCGCCCAATCGCTTAGCCAGCGATGTTTAATAATTTGTTTCAATGTATATCGGCGATCCGGCTCTACTACCAACATATTACGTAATAGGTGCTCGCAATCTGTGTCAACAAAATTAAATGATTTATGTATGATATATTTCTGATTTGCGGTTGGGAAATTTTAATTTACCTCGTGACATGAAGTATGGAATGCGAAACTTTCCGGTAACTACGCGTCCTTTCAACTCTAGTAGTGTGTCACCATTGAAAGGTAATGCACCACATACTAAAGCATATAGCACGACACCCAGACTCCAGATATCTGCTTTAGGTCCATCGTATTCCAAACCTTGAAAAACTTCAGGTGCGGCATATGGTGGTGAACCGCACCATGTGGTTAATGGACTTCCCTCTTCGTACCGATTACTGAAGCCAAAATCGGCAAGCTATTTAAAACGTATAGAGTGATTATAACAATTATGTATGTAGATAGGTAATGAAGATGGAATAAATTGCATATGTAAGTGCATAGGAATGTTATCCCACCTTTATATTCATATCGTTATCGAGTAGCACATTCTCCGCCTTGAGATCTCGATGCACTACACCCATTGAATGACAGTATTGCACAGCCGAGACTAATTGTGTGAATACACGCGCTGCTTCGAGCTCCTTCATGGGTCCATTCTCTGCTAGATGATCGAATATCTCACCGTTTGAAGCATATTCGGTGACAAGATAGATCATCGTTTCTGACTGCATCACCTCATAGAGGCGAGTAATATGTGGATGACGTAATGATTTTAAAATGGAAATTTCGCGGAATGTTTTGGTTAGGTACTCCCGATTTAAGCAAGTCTTATCAATGATTTTAATCGCCACCTAAAAGTTTAAAAAGGAACTTGTCACTTGTACAGTACTTATGTGTATTATACATACATACGTATAATTAAATAAACAACTTAGAAATAAAAACAAGCAAATTAACATAATATGGGTCAAGGTAATGATATAACAGTTATAAAAGCAATAAATTAATTTTAAAAAGTAGTATATTGGCACATATTCCAAAAAATCTTTAACAATATGAGCTTCAGTTCAGAAGAAATAAGGATAATTTGGAAAACATCGAATTAAATACCAAGTAATAAAGGAACACAAAAGGAATTCAAAAGAAAATTTTAAATCAGAAACAGTTGAAATTTTATTTTAGTATTTTGTTGGTAGTCCTTTTTGTTGTAAAACTGTTCTCGAATGATTAGATACCGAATCCACCAACTTACAGCAGAAAGAGATTGGTATATTGTACTACTATTTTTTTAAGGTTGTTATCAACTCGACGGACGACGTTAGCCTTGTGTTGGGGACAAATAATAAATTGTATCCATATTTCTTTCGATGATATGAATATTTTCTGGTTTAGCAGCAGTACGCAACCCCTACCATCGCAGCACTAAGGCCAAGCTTTATCGTAGAACGATGGTTCGCTTTTTTAACCTCTTATTTAGCTTTGCGCATCTTATTATTGTCTATCTCAAGGAAATACGTTGAACATTGCTCCTGTACAAAGTTCATCCTCTTCTGTATATTGGTCTTACTTACGAATGTTTTCTTCCTTACCACTCTACCATTGAATTGGTGTATTCTAAGCACATTTGGATATTTTCTGGATAAATTTCCTTGCGAAGATACTTTTCATTTCAATAGGTTCTGCGGCTTCCAGTATCCCCTACCGTGGGCCTTTAAATGTTTTAAGCGTTGTCTTGCTAGTGCACAAGAGATGCTCCATTGTTTCCTTGGTGCCTTGCTCTTGGCATTTCCTGCAGTCATCTCGATCTGTTAGCCCCATTCTGCAGGCGTGTGTCGCCACCAGACTGTGACCAGTGAGTATTTCAATCATGTTCCTACAGTCTTTTCTATCAAGAGTGAGTAGGAATTTTGTGGTTTTTTATATACCGTTTTGCACGTGACTTTTGCAGTCTTGCACCCAGGTAGATCATTCCATAGAATTTTAACCTTCCTTGCTATGCTCTTGTCCAGATTGTCGTAATTACAATGCATGGGTTTACCAATGTCAATGGATTTGTGACCTAGTACCTAGTTGAAGTGCCCTGTTTCCCAAGACACTTCCAGCCGATACGCGAACCGAGGTTACGGCGTTGTTTGCTACTTGGCTGTATACATAGATATTAACTGTGAAGTTGCCTGCTGCTGCACTATAGGCTAGCTCCGCGGCTTTCCCAATATAAAAGACCTCTGCTTAAAATATAATGCTGCCTTATGCCTATTTCTGGACAGTATATCGCCGCACTAAATACGTCCTCCATTTTCGAGCCATCCATATACATATGTAGATGTTTAATATGTTGCGCACAACTAACATACCTTTACGCCAACTATCTTTTTCGATATTTACTCTGAATCTTCTTTCCCAATTGAAAAGTAGAATCATGTAATCGGTGCTTGCCAAACCGCCATTAGTAGTTGTTGGTGCTCATTTAACAATTTCGCTTAAATTCCCCACACATTTTCCCGTTTTTGATAACGGAATCATAATTATTTTTTGTTAAACATTTCACTTCCACTCAACAAAATATGTACTAGAAATTACAATGCAGCTAACATAACACACTTTTGGGGGAAATCCCTTATTTTTAAAACTGGTTTCGGAATTAAACTGAAGTTGATTTCTATTCAATTCCTGCGAATTTACGTCACGTCACAAGGTGTTCCATTGTTACTTTGATACTGAATTCGTGGTTTTTATAATTTAGCATTATTTCCTCTGAACTGAATTTAATATTGTAAGTTTTCTGCTGATTATTAATGTGCCCGTATATCACTTTTTAAAATTATTATTATTTTATTATGAAATTAATTGAAAGTTAGTGAATGGAAAATAAATATATATGAAAGAGATGTCTTCGCGGACATGATTAAATAAATTTGTATGCACATAAGCAAAGCTTATTTCTTGATGGGCTAAAGAAATGGCAAATTCTGCCAAATGTTTGTATAGAAATTACTAATATAGGTAGGAAATTCCATACATACGCGAGCATTTTCATAGCTTCGAGTTTTTGAAAATAGAGATAAAAACCACTAAACAGATAATTACATATGTAAATTCAGAAGTATTCATTATTTCGGCCTTTCTGGCTAGTGACATTTGTAGGTATATATTCGCAATATGTAGCAATTGAATTATGAACAATTGTAAAAATTAAAAATTTGTTTGCTGCACCTACTGCAGCTATTTTGAAGAAGCTGGAGTTTCGATGCTTCCACTACTTCGGATCGATTTTCTGCCTTGGGTGTATATACAACTATATATATAGGATAAAAACCTATTTGGAAAACTGCTACCGTAATAATAATATAGGTATGGTATCATTGTCGACATATTGACACAAGTAGTACGGAATAACAACTTTATAGAAGTAATTTTGTGGTAAAAATATTTTATTTGCTAGATGTTTTACATCAATATTTATGTTCATATATAAATATTATATATGTGCTAATTTATAAAATAGAATACTAAGTTAGAATTTTTACTTGTATATAGCTGTAAATTTACTTAGAAATAATATAAGTATAGTGGGGGTGTTAAGTGGTGGTTCTTCACTAGGCACATCATGGCTTCGTTGTAATAAAAAACACTATATTCAAAACGCCCCCAACAATCATTGTAATCGCGAGGAAAGCTTAAAACATACAACCAGTCGAGTGTAAGGCAAAGGTTTAATGAGGTATTAGTTTAGTTTGCTTAACATCCTTAAAACTTTCAAAGTTTATCATTTATATAGGGGTGCTATATCATGATATAGAGGTGATTTAAGGTAATCGAATTAGCAACAAATTTTGTTCTTAAGAAAGTTTAACATTCTATTTAAAAATAAATTTTCTCTTCAAGTATTTCTATTTAGCAGCGAAGCGGCAAGGATATTTGCTAATGCAATAAATTGATATTTAAAAATTGCGATCGGTTTACATATGGACAGTGCCATTATCGAATAGCACATGACTTACATTGATGACGACAATTATGTAAACATATCAATTTGCTTACTGCAAATACCTTATTGTTTGCCAAAACAACCCACAAATAGTTTTATTTTAGCAAATGTACACATGCATGTGTGTTTATATATCTCCCAATTCACACACGGGTTCTTTTGTCGCCCAAACCGGTTTTGTTGTGGGCGAGGGGACGACGAGGAGAGAAGAAGAGACCGTGCCGCTCGTGCTCGGGTGGCACACATTGTGTTCTTGTTCGTAACAGTTCCCTGATACGCAACTCAGCATTCCTTTTCATGGTTGCAATAGCGCTTGGTTTCAAATGAATATAAACGCAAATGTGTATGCATGAAAAATAGAAATATTTTGAAAAATTGTGAATAAGGAGAAAATTAAGATCCTCAAAAATATTTAATTTAAATTTGTAATAACACTTAACGGTATTAAATGTAATAATGTATACATAAAATAATTCTAATAAAAATGGGGTTACTTTTACTTTTTTATATTTACATAAAATATTAAGATGCTTTCATATTATTTCTTCTAACCGTAAAGGTTTGAGTTCGAATTACATTTTATTTAAAACAAGAACTGTAATTAATTCATGAATTTTTTATAATAAATAGAAAAAAAGATGGAGTAAAAAAATGATGGGTCTTTAATACTCCCGAAATATTAGGAAATTCCTGTCATAAATTTGACCTTGTAGCGGGTATCCAATACATTCTGGTAGATTAGGGAACTCACGACTTAAGAGCGATACCAACAGAGAATTTTCCGATAATGAGCGACAAAAGAGTCCCCATGTGAACGCAGTATATCAGAACTCTTTTTGAAAATATCGCAGTTGTAAAATTTCTAAAAATATATAAACATTTTACATATATATGTGTATATCTATGTTATACCACATGGCATGGAAACGTAAATACAAACATACATATGTACATATGTTTACGTATCTTTATATAAAACACTCGTACAATGCGGCAGGAGTGACAAGTTAGAGGACATATTTTCAATGTTTCCGTGCTTTAAGGACTAGACTGCACTACTAGATATTATCGCCAACAGTTATAGGCCTAAATGGGGTGATGTGTGCTTTTGAAAGGATAACTTTTTGTCGTTCGGACTTCAAAATTGTGTGGTAAAATACAAAAATAAATTTAAATAAGCTTACTACCTTTCGTTTATAGCCTTCGCTTACGTTAGGTACTGCAAAGCGTGGATATTTGCATAATTTTCCAATGCAATGGCAATGAGAACAGAGCGCGGATTGGCACAGTATTAGTATCGTCACAATTGGAACTGGCAAATCTTGATCGGTAGACGAAGAAATATCCAAACCGTACGTCACTTCCCTATAGGTACATGTGAACGCCCAAATTTCCAAAACCCGTTCTTTTGTAAAGGGGATACAACTTTCACATCGCGGCACCTAGATCCACTGCTTTGATTTTATTCAAACTTTATATTCTGCTTATAATAAAAACAACCAGACGGTTTGAATTTTTTCAGATTTTTTCAAAAAGCCGTTTGGCCACGGGAATGTGGTTGAAAAGTCGACCATCAGCCGAAAACGGTACTCACGAATGTAAAACAGTGTTTGATTAGTATTTATCATTTATTTTGTTCGATGTTTCAATTTCACACTGTCATGACATTTATAACAAATGAAAAAAGATACACATCAGAAGTGTTGAAAGAATTTTATTGAAAGTTTAATATCTTAACCTCATATTTCGTGGAATTGATTGAAACACAAAACATCTAATACTACTTGTGAAAATTTTGACAACGACGAGGCTTCTCTAATTTGTCAATGTCACGGCCAACTTTGTCTTTATGAACTATCTCCAGAACGGCGTCTTTGGATTTTCGAACAGCTGTTGACTGTGGAGTAAACGTATCGGAAGTCGAAATCGACGGTATTGCTATTCGAAGCAAACATTCTGCAACGTAAATACGAAACTGTAATTGATCCAATGATTTTTTTTTTTGTATCATAGATATTTCGGTAGTGCGTGACATTCCCTTCTTATCGTTCACCATTGTGACATCCCATGCATTTTTTATTGTGGCCAATACCGCTTTTTGCCTCGAATACGAATTCAATAATTGTTTATGGCATTATCGAAGAGAATAACGCCATCCATTCGATTATTGGATGCTCTTACGCTGTGTGGCATATCAATATAATATTTCTTGCCCTTTTTCATCGCTTCACACGATTCAGAGGTTCAATTGCCTAATGTTTCGATGCAATGGCCATGACTAAATTGTCATTTCATCGGGCTATCAGCACATTATTGTTTCGATCAAATGTGTTGTCTAGCTAGCCGCGTTCTTTCTTCTTAGATGATGAGACGTCACTAAGTTTTGCTTTATTCGTACGTCTGTTACGCATGGTCCCGGTAGTATAATATCCCAACAAGGTGAGTTGGCTCACCAGTTTATGAGAGGTGAAAATGTCTCAAACGTAACACAATGTCACGTGGATCATCAAGTAGTTTCAATAACTTTAGTACGACCATTTCAATTAAGCCGCAATTTTTATATTCGGGTTCTCGATTCTTGTTTGCACCGCTGTACGGAATAAACGAATACAAATAGCCATCAGACGAACATAAGTCACAGTATTTGAAGGCACATCGAATGGCCTTTCCTTTATAAAAATTTTTCTCGGTCTCGTCGCAATCGGCTGATGCATTTGGATTGTGATCGTGTTGTACGCGCACCATAGTTCAATGTGGTCAGCTATTTCACGGGGCAGAAACGCACTTTCATCGATATTTTCCGAGTCTCTTACTGCATTTGTAGTTTCTGGAGGCTAGACCACTAAATCGATCGTATCCGCATGGAGAATCTCTCCTTGACTCCGGTATCTTTTGCAAAACATTTTGAAGATAAAACTCAAAATTCCACTCAAGAACGGAAAACTTCACTACCGCGCAGCAGGGGGGCGTACCAGCGAATCACACTGGAAGACCTGCTCGGGCTCGTAGACAACAACCGACTAACTGCCTGCCTGGAAGGGTTCCTTCTTATATTCATGATCTAGGAAGCTTTTGGACAATTCTATTCTAAAAATAGCTAGAAAAAAAGTTATCGAATAATCCATAACTTGGAAACAAGTTATTTTTATCGATTTTTACATTTTCTACTCCGTAATCACGAATCACTATATGCACTGTAAGGCGACTACTCGTCTTGTATGCTTTGATTATGATAATTTCTACGTTAACTTATTCGTAAAAGTACGCAGTAATCAATAACGTCCAGAAAAAAAATTTCTGTTGAATGTATTGTGTATTAGTGGCCATCATTCATCTTGAACATTGGAGTTCACCAGAAATAAAAATAATGAAATGGCTGGTGGTCGATTTATCGACCAGTGCATTTTGCACATTCGTCATCATTCTATACTACAACCAATCCATCCGGTGAAAAAACATTTTGCGTATAATATGCAACAAACATCACAATATATCGAAAGGTTTATTTATTTTATTTTTTCCGAATTTTAAAAAAAAAAAATTTAAAAGATTTTTCAAAATTACTGGTCGAAAAATCGATTACTAGCTGTAAGTAGGTTAATACGAGTGTGTGTTAAAAGATAACTGTTTATTATATGTATTTTCGACAGCACATTGACCGTGGACCGAGCAGTTCTGTGGAACAAAAAAGTTTAGTCACCTTTGGATCAAATTTCAAGTTTCAATATTATTGCATAAGAAGGAAAATAAAACAACATTTTTTAAACAAAACCAAAAAGGAAATTTCAAACTTTATAGGTGAAATATCCAGAAGCAACCAGGTGAAAGCAAATTGGGCCCGGTCAAGAAAGCTTACCTTTGTTTTTATTTATTTTAAGAAATAGCAAGTAAACCCATAGATTGAATTTATTGGAAAACATGAAATCTAAGGAAAGTAAAATAAGGCAGCAGGTAAATCAAGCAAAGCAATAAAAACTCTTCGTAGCGAAAAAGTTTTTGAATCTATGTCGGGAGGCCACTATAAGAAGTGAAACCAAAAGCTAAAATATAAAAGTAAAATAATCTTAATAGCAAAAAGTGGCAAAGAATAACAGTTTTACAGAGGGCGCACGCCTATCGATTAAACTACCCGCTGCACAAACGAGTGACTACCCTGGGGATATTTCGACGACGGGGGAAAGAAATGTGATTCTTTTTTTAGGACATAGTGGCTAGCAACTATCTACGCGAGTTTCAGCTTCAATACATGTTATTGTGTAAGTGTTGGACAAATCAAACTAAACGGGCGTGAGGAGATTGCAGTTGGTAGTGGCAACTGGATTGGGTTTGATTACATTCCGTAAATAAGAAGGAACAGTAGCAACAGCCAATCACTCGTTTAACCAGGCTATTAAAGATAGTTTGTATGCAAAGAAGTTGAAGTAAATTTAGCCGACTTGAGTTCTGGTGGGCAATTGTACAATATTAAACGTATGTCACACATGAATCTGCACGTGACTAGTAGATAAGAGCAGAAAGAGTAATATAAGAGGCGAAAATTCAGAAAATCGACTTGACAAAGATCCTATAATCAGCTCGAAAATAATGAGGGTCGGGGGTAAAATTCTTAATTCAAAAAGTAAAACGGCTGCCGACTCAATTGCGCACACAACATGCTTAGAAGCAGTTACTTCACGAAGAGCGACAAAAGTCGCCGGCAATGCCGAGCTCGGCTTGCATAAGAAACAATCTTGCACATCGCTTCTTTGTGAGCTGACACGTCTTAAGTCCCAGCAAAAGTATCTCGAATGCAATCAGGCCAAGTTAAATCCGGCTCATTATGAAGATCCACCGGTTAGCGGAAGAAGTAAAAATAATAGCATATCACAAATGATAAACGAAATTGAAGCCCTTAAAGCGTATTTAGAAAACAGATTAAAAGCTTATCGGGAAAACTGTTATTGTGAGATACAAGAATTGCGCCAAGTGGTCAGCTCTATACACGAAGATGTTCAGCCGCAGCGTTTGAGCCAGTGTTCGTTGCCGGAATTGCGTGAACGCATTATTAGCACAAATACACAACTAATACAACTATGCGACAAAAACGAAAAGGAAATGGAAAAACTGCGCGATGAGTGTGAAAATATAGAGCGCGACAATAAAGTTATCGTGAATGTTTGAAACGTGAAAATATAAGTTTAACAATAAAAAAAAAAACCTAAAAGCATACATACATATATTTATTTTTTTGGCGTCTGATTAAAATGTATTTTTATATATAATATTAGCAACGTATAAATGAATGTATGAATATGTGAACATATTATATGTATATTCAAATGATTGGCATGTAAGATGTATTGATATACATACACACATATATAGCATCTTATGTCGGAATTTTGTTGGTGAATTAAATTATTCAATTAATTTTTTGTTTATTAAATAAATTACTGCATTTAATTCTAAAGTACCGCAAGCGTATCTACATATTTATATAAGGAAAGTAAACATTGTGTTTTCTATTAAAAAGTATTCTCAGAAAATATCGTCAAATGGCTTTAGTCGACACTCTACATTCCCGCTCTTTACAAATTCTTAGTAAACTTTCAATGTTGGTATGTATGTTTCGGATTCTCTTCGGCTATTAAAGCTTTTCTGTATTTGCATATGTGAAATAACCACAATAATTTTCCTTAAAAGTTACTAAATGTGTGATAACTTTGTGAAGGAAATCATTAAAAGCATAAAACTTAACAGTCAAGAAAACTCAACAGAGTTGCATACGAGTCGATATACAGATTAGATCAACTACTCTATCAAATTTAGTACATAATATTCACTTGGCATTTTTATACTATCGCAACATGTTGCAACGGAGAGTATAATAGTTTTGTTCACCTAACGGTTGTTTATATCACCTAAAACTAATCGAGTTAGATATATGGTTATATATATAAATGATCAGAATGATGAGATGAGTTGACTGTCTGTCTGTCCGTCCGTGTAAGCGATAACTGGAGTAAAAATTAATATATTTTAATGAACATCTGCTCTTTGACACCCAAGGGGGGTTGGTGTTGCAGATGGGCGGAATGGGTATGACACCGCCCACATTTAGGTGAACAGGTTACAGAATATTTATTCCAACATCAATGAAGTTACCAGAATAAAACTTTGCACTAATAGTGCCCTCAAGGTATTTTATCTTACTTCATATTAAGTTTTGAAATACCTTTGATCTTCTCAAATTGTGAGAGCTCTTCCTTACTTGTTAAGTTACCTTTTGAAAATGAGCGAAGCCGGACTACAACTTTGCCAACGACACAATATGAAACCGTTCACTCTCATCTAGAAATGTTTGAAATCAGATTGTATCTTTTCAAACCTCCAGATATCGATAACCTAGCGAAAATGTGGTCTTGTGGTAAAAATAGTTCAAATCCGTTCAGTCAATTGGTAGACTATTTCGAACCTCATAGAAATTTTAGTAAAAGCGAATATTAAATTGAAGTTAAACATTATTTATTATTGTTCTACGTTTGTCTTTCCTAACCAACAACGAACGTTTCTTATCGCTACCGCTAAAAGTATAATTTTGTGTAAAGAATTTCCCTTTTATCACCTGTCCGCGCTCATCCCTTTCACTGTTCCATGTTATTGTAATTATCAAGAATTATCTATCTGTCCAACCTCAAAATATGTATATTTTATGATATTCCCATAACTAAGTACTGACATGTGTATATGTCTATATGTGTAAATACATATGCACAAGAGCGCCTACGGTAGTGATATCAGTAAAATGAGTGACCACACAATGTTCAAACAGCTCCAGACGATCATTGTATTTATTCGAGAGTATTCAGATTTACATATTTACATATATGAGAATACACACTTAGTACTATGTAAATACATAATTCACTGTACGCGTGTATTCATAATTTCATTGTATTGCCTCATACTGGTAAATGTGTAATTTATAAATTTGCAATTTGTTGAAAAAATATGAGCAATAACAATAATAAATGCTTTATTAGATATGTACCTATGTATATATTTCAGTTCATTAACCATATTTTTATTTTGTACATTGTATATTGGAAGCTCGCTCGCCTCGATAAGAAGATATAGTCTACAAATAGTTTGAAACCAAAATACACAATAATCTTTGCATATCAAAAAAAAACATAACTCATTAATCTACACGCTAGTATCTAAATAATATTATATAACGATATCTAGCAATGTTTTTGGTATTTTCTCGCTTCTTTTGTAGCAGCACAAAATTTAACAATTTACATTATTATATTTTTTAACTTCTTTCTTTCTTTATAGAAATTTAATAATATTATTAATGCAATTAAATACTTGAGTATTAAGTGAAAAAAGAAATGTTTATCTCGGCTGCACCTATAATATCCTTCACAACTGCATTTTTTATAGCATAAAATGGTATAAAAAGATCTTTATCCTGATTTTGATCGGTCAGTTTATATGGTAGATATGTATGTGCCAAATTTAGTGAAGATATATCGTCAAATAAAAAAGTTTTCCATACAAGGACTGGCAAATAGGGATAGACCACGAACTACGAGTATATGATATTCGATATGTTATTTTAATAACTTTTTCATATTTTGTGGTAGCCCTTCAAATTTTTTACATTTTTTGACATCTTTGAGGTATGGATACCACTAGTTTGGCTCATAACACTTTTGGACTGCTATACTAAACTTCTTGTACTTTTTACAACATTTGATTGTTATTTGTGTACTTATAAGGCCTTAAAGACCGCTTTATAATACCACAATGAGGTTAAGATCCGGATACTGTGAGGGCCAGTTAATAACAAAAACGCGTTCGTTATGTAACCTATTTTGATAGCGTCAGCCCGCCACCGTACTTAAATGTCTCAACTGTATAATTAGGATTAAACGCTTGTCTTGCAGGATACTTAACGTAACGATTTTGCTGGTTTCTTTTTTGCCTAAGCCTACGGAAGTTTCTGTTTTTGCCAACTTATACAACTTCTTATTTTCAATTTAAACCGTACCTAAATAACGTTTCTTTTTCCATGTAGGTATATACTAGGCCTATTCAAAAAGTATGACGAATTTTGTATCTCTATAAAAAGTGTTTATTTATTGATGAATATCTATTTTGTTCCCTTCAAAGTAATCACACCTTATGCCAGCGGTTTATTCAAAATTTGGAAGTCACAAATATTCGCGCACAAGCAACAGGCGTGAGCAGTTGCGTTATCATGGTGCAAAAGCCAATTTTTGTTCTTCCACAAATCACTACGCCCCTGCAATGTGAGCAAAATCTTCACATTCGACTGACCTTGGAGCGCTTTTTTCGGTCTTGGCTCATAAGACAGCTTCCATTGGGATGATTGAGCTTTGGTTTCCACGTCATAACCATAAACAAATTATTCGTCATCAGTTATGACCCTCTTTAGCAGATCTGAGTCGTAGCGGACTGAGTCCAACATCTCCTGAGCAATGTCAACGCGACGCTGTTTTTGGTCGAAATTGAGCAATTTTGAAACAAACATCGCGGCGAGCCGACTCATACCAAAATCATTGGTTAAAATCGAATGGCACGAGCCAATTGATATGTTTAGTTCTTCAGCAATTTCTCTAATGGTGATTCGACGACTGGCCAATACTATTTTCTTCACTTCATTAATGTTTTGGTCTGTTGTTGACGTGCTCGGGCCGGCGATCTTCATTTCACACAAAAGACAAACCAAAACGCGTCCAAACAAAACAGCTGTCAAAAATTAACTAACCATTCAAAATGGCCGATGTTGTCAGCATAAGTAAAGGATACGAGTACCTAAATAACGCAACAAAACAATCGAAAATCGAATACACGTAGCCCGCGAAAATTCAAAATTCACGATCTTTTTTGAACAAACCTCGTAACATGAGGTTTACTTGCTTCATGAAAAATAGCAAACAGTCCATTGTTATGTACATGGGAAAAGAAACATGATTTAGAAAAATAACGGACCCCCTCATGTGTACGTACCTACACGTACTCATCAATTATTATTATATAAGGTCACTAAGAGGATTCATTGAATTGCTATTTGAAATGCGTTTTGTTGCATTGTTCTCTTGCTCTTCCTTCTGTATATTACTTTCTATATATTCATTAATGTATATCTATACATATATTAAATACATACATTCTATTATTTTTTTATTCGCTATATTTTCGCGTGTTAGATCACGGTAAAAAACAATATGAATATTTGTCTTATCTATCGTTGATAGTGAATCAAATAGGAGCAACAAAACTGTAAGATAAACAGTAAAAATAAAATAAGAAGAGTAAACAAAAACAAAAATTAATGTAGATAACAATACGTGTATAGTACTAACATAAATGGAAGATATAGAAGGTGAGAAAATGACTAAGGAAAATATCGTAAAGAAATCAATGATTGGAAAGAAAGGAAACATAAAGATGGTACATTGCAATTAAAATAAACATTATCCATATTTTTCCACTTTTGCCTTTCCTTTATCTGTTTGTAACACCTATAATTAATTGAAGTACAATTATGCTCACATAGGCATACAGTTACTGACAATAAAATATAATCAAATAGATGGTTCCGAAATAATTAACAATCTTTATTATTTGTCGGAAAGATTTCCGATTCATTTTGCCTGTATTTGATTCTTACAATATTTATCTTTTAAAACACAATGATGATTGCACTGTTACATTTTACTGTTGGCTTTTTGTCCAAATTTAACAATGTTTTTGATTCGGGAAATCATGGACCGTTATCACTACCTTGGAATTTTAGAAGATGTAATGCTTCCCTATACTGAATGCAGCATGTTTTTTTTTTGGCAACTCCAGCACGACAATGACTCGAAGCGTACCTTGGGTGTGGTCAAGACTTGGCTACAGTATCAAGAAATCGACGCAATCTCCGGATTTAAATCCTATAGAAAACCTGTGGAAAATTGTAAAGGAAAAGTTGCCACCCATTATACCACGAAATATGGAGGAACCAAGGGAAAAAAATCCAAGAGGTAAAGGTGCGCGGCCGTACTCGCAAATAAAGGTTTTGCAACAAAATTCTAACTTACATATGCACATGCATTTTTAGTTATAATAGTCAATTACCAAATTTACGAGTTTTGGTTTCAAGATTCTATTTTATTCTCAATTGAATTATATTAAATTATTTTCGCT